AAGTTTTTAGCTGTAACTCTCATTGTTATCATCCAGGTCTTTGTCTCTGGCTCAAATGACACAGAGGGACATCTTGAAAGGATGCTTTTTGTCCCCTCCTCTCACAATGGGGTTGTGATGACCAAGCCTCACTCTGAAGGAAGACTCTTCCAATGGCTTCTGTCCCTCCATGTTTGCAACTATTTTTCCACTTTTCATTTTTCATCCTAAACTGAGTCCACCCTACTTTCATTCACTTGATTTTAACTGTTTACATTCTGAAGGAGGAACCAAAATCCTATAAGAGGGGTCAGAAATTTCAACAGGAAAAAACTTTTATTTTCCAGACTATGGGAGGCCAGGAGATCCAGGCTTGATTTTATCCATTTAATCAGAAGTTGTTATTAGTCAATGGAGCAGATTTCAATTGTCATTTGCCTGCTTATCCATGGAAAGGTTGATTCAGGCAATATGCAGATTCTAAAGGTGTCTAGCTTTGGGGACAGCAGGTGGCATGGTGATCAAGATTCTGGACTTCCACATTGCTAATCTTAGTTTAAGTTCTGGACCCATTAGCTTGAATTTCTGCCTGGCATGTGTGCATATGAGCCCCAAATCCCAGGAGGAGAATGGAGGAGAAGGGATTGCAGTGTGACCATCCTCCCTGTGGGGGTGATTTCTCACTTTCCCTCTCTCTGAAGATGTGCATGCCCGATGGCTAAACTAAAAAAAAAAAAAAAGCCTCCTTAAAAAATGTTGTATAGCTTTAATGAAGTAATGCTTTGGTCAAAATTTAACTCTTGTACACACATTGGATTAACAGTACTATAACATTTTTATTTAATATTTTTTTCTAATATGAAATATGATAACATAGGACATCAATCCATTAGTTATTGTAAGTTTGTTACATTCAGATCTCAGAAACTTTTTGATACACTAGCCTGGACTGAATGAGAATTTGAAGGACCACAGTATGGAATGAAAGTGTGAATTGGCTTGATAAAAATTAATGATTGAAATAGTGTTTGATGCTAGGGCAGCACCATGTGTGAAGCAATACGCCAATTAATTATTTCTGAGCTTGGAATAGATCTTTAAATTTCATGTAGGTATCTCTTTTATAGAAATGTAATCTACTTTTTCCTAATTAAATAATCTCAGTTATCATGAGTAAAGACAAAACTACCCATACAATAAGAACTAAAGAAAATTGAAAACTGAAAAGTTACTTTATACAATGTACATAATTTTAAAATCTTAGTATTTTAAGATTTTTAGTCTGAATAGCTCTACCATCCTCTGCTTTATTCCTTGCCCTGAACACATCGTGAGAATGTCAACTTGCTATTTCATTGACTAAACGTCTTGTCCATCTGTAAAGTACTATTAATTCATCTGCTGGAATTAATTTGTCTTCTCAGTCTTTCCATCATCAATTTGTACCATGCCGCATATCCATCAACAAAATGCTTTTTATCCCTGCAGACATTCAATCAGTGCAATGCAGACTGGTTTCAAATCTCAGACTTGCACAAGGGCAAATTTACTTTTAACAAATATATATTCAAAAATTAAAAAGCAAAACAAATTGCTCCTGGCAAGTTCAGACTCCCTCAAGGCAAGGACAGCATAAAAATGGCAGGGAACTGCACTAAGTCATTCGCGACTACAGCTCACAGACTAACGGAGTTGTACTGAGTTGAACCAAGCAACAAATTAGAAATATGGCGGGGATACTGGCCCACCATTTTTATTCCTTTTAACTCCGGGCACCACAGAGAGAGAAATGACTAAATCTCTATTTTAATAGCTGCTGTCAAGAGTTTTGCTCTGTAGGGCCTATTTCAGCAGTTCCTAGTGGTAATATATGGCATTTCCCTGATTAACAACCATTTTATAACCTGTGTAATTGGCCACAAATCAGAGGAATGTCATAATGTAGCAAGAAAACATTCCCATCTCCGTCATAGCCTTGGCTTGGTTTTCTGGAGGAATTATTACTTGAGTAGTTTGTGGGTTTTCATGACTTTAAATAATGTACTACCTGAAGTACAAAAAAAGACATTTAAACTAATGAACATTTCTGTCTCCTAATTCTTTCTACCATGCCTGTCTTTAGATTTCTTTTCCCCCTAATGCCAGTGTGTTTTTGGAAATAGAGATATGGGCAGGGCTAGGAGTGAAATGAGGTGAGTATGGCACTTGGCTCGGGTGTTAAATTTAAAGGAGCACCAAAAAAATTCAGTAGTCAAGATAAAAAATATTTTAATGCAATGTTTTAAAAAAATCAAAATCAGAGTAACAAAAGGATCTATGAAAAGAGAAATATTAAAACCTTGTAGACAATGATCCTGCATTTACAGGACTCATCTCACCCACTTCTTCTTGATCCATGCCTGGGCCGGGGTATTGGATAAAAGGAATAACCACAAAGCAATGGTGTTGAGCCCACTTCCCAATAGGAAAACAGTTTTTGGCTTTTTATAGTCAGTCTTTGGAGTGTTAGTAAAAGCAATCGCCTATGCACAATTACGTATGTAGAAGATTTATTTCACCTGTAATACACAGTCCAAAGTATTTCTTTTTTTTTTTATCAAAGTGCCAGTTTATAATGGAGACAGAAATTATAATTCCATATCGACCTCTATTGGAAACCAAAGATTGACATATTTATAACAATTGATTTAAAAACCCAATTGCTTCCTAAGACAAGTAAAGACCAATACCATTTCTTTATTTTAAAAAAATACACAACCACAAAGCAATGGTGGTTTGTTTGTTTGACACAAACAAATAGTTGTTTTCCAGTTTGAGCCAGTCTCTATGATATATACTGTAAATACAAAGTTGAAAAGATCTGACGTCTTTCTTCAAGAAGATGAAATATGAAGTCGATAACAGTAGTGATTTGACAAGTCTTTGAGAAAACTATACTCAAAGAGGGAACATGAGACTCAGATTGGATATCAGTTTTTTGGAGAAATGACCCATGAGCTAATCATTTAGATCTGGTGGAACACAGATGAAGAGGGACCAAGGATGAGGCCTTCCAAGGCAAAGTATTTCTTTTTTTTTTTTTATCAAAGTGCCAGTTATAATGGAGACAGAAATTATAATTCCATATCGACCTCTATTGGAAACCAAAGATTGACATATTTATAACAATTGATTTAAAAACCCAATTGCTTCCTAAGACAAGTAAAGACCAATACCATTTCTTTATTTTAAAAAAATACACAACCACAAAGCAATGGTGGTTTGTTTGTTTGACACAAACAAATAGTTGTTTTCCAGTTTGAGCCAGTCTCTATGATATATACTGTAAATACAAAGTTGAAAAGATCTGACGTCTTTCTTCAAGAAGATGAAATATGAAGTCGATAACAGTAGTGATTTAACAAGTCTTTGAGAAAACTATACTCAAAGAGGGAACATGAGACTCAGATTGGATATCAGTTTTTTGGAGAAATGACCCATGAGCTAATCATTTAGATCTGGTGGAACACAGATGAAGAGGGACCAAGGATGAGGCCTTCCAAGGGGTGGAATAACACTGTGAAAACATGGAATCTTGGAATGGTGGCATGTTTAAAAAATCATGGTATTTAGGTAGGTTGTGGAGATGGGCACAAACCGGAAAGAAACAGAAGGCAATACAAATGAGAAAGAAAATATACTTACATTTCTTTCTTTCTTTTTTTTTTTTATTTATAGAATTTTTGTTATAGGGCACATGTGCTTAATGAAGAGACAGAGAGCGAGCGAGAAAGTGAGAAATCGCCCCCTAGTGGAGAATGAGTCAAGAAAGAAACAGAAGACTATTCAAATGAGAAATAAAAGATACTTAAATTTCTTTCTTTTTTATTTAGGGGATTTTTGCTATAGGGCACATGTGCTTACTAGAGAGACAGAGAGAGAGAGATAGAGAGAGAGAAATCTCTCCCCAGGGAAGAATCAGTCAAAAAAGAAACAGAAGGCAATTCAAATGAGAAACAAAAGATACTTAAATTTCTATCTTTCTTTTTTCTTGAGAGAGTTTTGCTACAGGGTGCATGTACTCACTGGAAAGACTGAAAGAGAGAGAAAACAAGAAATCACCCCCCGCCCTCCGCAGGAGAGATGGCCATGCTGCAATCTCTTTTGCTCCATTCTCCTCTCATGATTTGGGCATATACACACACAAACACATCCAGTGTGACTTCCAAGCTGCTTGATCTGGGACTTGAACTGCAGTAGGCCATATGGGAGTCCAGTGTCTTAACCACTATGCCAACTGCTGGCCCCATGATACTTGAATTTTAAAAAAGTATATATTGAAAGAGTCATGTTTAGTAATACACTCTTTACACAGAGTACATAAATTATGTCCCTGAATTAGGAATAAAATATATATAAAATGCTTTCAGAAAATGTGATCCACTAATAAAATTTAAATTTCTTATGGGACCAGCAGATGGCATAATGGTTATGTTGCCAGTCTCCCATGTAGTTGACTGTGGTTCAAGTCCTGGAACCAGCAGCTTAAAACTCATGCTGGGCCCATGTGAGTGCATGACCAAAATTCTGAGAGGTGACTGGAGGAGAAAGGATTGTGGCATGGCCATCCTCCTTGGGTGATAAATTCTTGCTTTCTGTCTCTCTGGTGCATGTACATGCCATATAGCAAAAAACTCTAAACAAATTTTTTTCTAAAGACATATGCTGCATCTGCCTGACTCATCCTTTGTGACTTTCATTTCTGAAGCAGAAACAAGGTAGAATTGGGTGTTCTCAAAATTTCAAAAACTTATCATATTACAAGTTACTATTCTTCATATATAGGCGAAGTGTTGGTATAAAAATTAGGTTTAAAATATTATATATTAAACAGGCAAAATGCAGACAAAATATTGTGAAATTGGTGAGGATGTTAATTTGCATTAAATCCAGATGATCCATTTTGAAACAATTATATTCTTCAATAGTGTGATAGATTATCTTTTTACTTAAATGCAATTTTAAACAGTAGTCGCACTAACCTTTTACATCATTTGCTAACTTCTTGGCTTCATTAAGCACCCCAAAGCTTTTCTGAAGAGATCCTTTGGCATTTTCCTTTAATAAGCCCTCAGGACCAGTTGCCTGTGGACAAAAAAAAAAAGAAGTGTCACGGACCCAAAAACAAAGAATAATGGAATAGAACATCTAGAAGGCATTCGGTAATAGAGTTTACTTTCAGGTAACAGTTCTGGTGTCTAGATTGAGAATTATAATTAATCAGCACATATTTGGTAAAACGAGGATATTGTTCATTGGGAGATGAGAAGATCCATAAAGGCATCACTAATAACCTCAACATTGAAGGATTAGGTAGAGAAAATGGAGCTGGCAAGGTGACTGAGGGAAAGGAGAAGCCAAGAGAGCATGATATGAGGACCAACAGTCGGAGTAATGGCTATGTCACTGGACCCCCATGTAGTCAACTGTGGTTCAAGTCCTGGATCCAGTGGCTTAATCTCATGCCAGACATGTGTGCGTGCATGCCCAAGATCCTGAGAGAAGAATGAAGGGGAAGGGATTGCGGTGTGGCCATCCTTCCTGAGGGGTGATTTCTTGCTTTCTGTCTCTCTGTCTCTCTCTGTCTTTCTGGCGAATGCATGCGCCCTATAACAAAAAGCTCTCTCTCAAAAAAAGAGCATGATACTAAAAATTAAGAGATACAGAAGTGACTCAATGCATATAATGGTTGACAGCATTGGAAAACCAGTGTTTTCATGTGCTACAAGAGTCAAGCAAATTAAAAAGTAAAAACATTCACTGACTTTATCACTAAGCACATTTTACTCTAGTCATGGGGTGAAGGGGCTGCATGTCCTGTATCTTCAAGGTATGGAAAAGAAAAAGGACCCTGCTTTTTTTAAAAAATAAATCTCAGCGTACCATGGCAAAACAAAGTCTTCTAAATGACAGTCTCTGAGCCACAATTATCCCCTAGCAAAGATGTACTAGTTGAGGCTAAGATTAAAAGAGGTGACACAAAGATAATAGAATTTTAAAAGGATTGTTTAACTTGACTAGTTAACCATTTTAATAGTGTTTTTTTTTTCCTCAGTAATCATTACAAAACACATGCATACCAAGAGATAAATCAAATAGAATCTCATGTGTTAATCTTAAATTGGAAAAGTAGTTTATGGTGCAAGGAAGGTTAGAGAATACTAAATACTTACTGTTTAATAGAAATTTGAGCTCATGTTATCCCAGACATAAATACCAAGTTCTGTAATGTTTTTCAGTATAATGCTTTCATAATGTGACTGATAAAATAATGTTATTAAGGCACATTTATTACAGAACTTGGTATTTATGTGGTCAAATGTCTTCTAATGTGTTATTCCAATAGCTTTCATTTAAATAACCTATTGTTCACAGAACAGTTTGATTATAGAATACTGTGATATCTACATAAAAACATATTGGGAACATCCACATAAATTTTAAAAGGGACAATGCTCTTAGATCTTGAAAAAGATAACCTTGACAATTTATCCTGTGGAAAATTGGCAGTGTCTTCCAATGGGAACACAGGAATTCTTAGTCCTACAATTTCTCTTGAGAAGTAGATACAATGAATCATATGTGTCCTTTATCTTAGGAGAAAAAAGTAAGTGTCAAATTTAATGGCACAAATCCAATGACTTACTTAACTCAAAGAAAGTAAGCCTTATTCAGGCTCTATATTTGTACAAATTTACACATCATTTTCACTCCCTTGGTTACAGGTTTTCTGAATCAAAACAGATTAGAGATAGGAAATTAAAAAAAGAAGGTGTGAAGATTCTCTATATAGACACATAAAAACAGCAGAAGTGACAGCTGACAATCTTTTTTACAGTGAGGAAAGAGAAATGAAAACTTTCTAGAGAGAAGGATTTATAAAATTCATGAGTTCTACTCCATTTGGAGAGGGCAAAATGTGAAGGGAGGGGAAAGGTAGGTCTTAATAGATGCCAACATTATTCTGGTAGAATAAATTTTGGTAATGATTCTGAATCATCAAAAAAAAGAAAAAAACAGTAACACAAAACATCTTTCCTTAGAGCTTCAAGCTGCAAATGCCATTTTATAAGAACATAATTTGCCAAGCATTTAAAAAAATAAGATTTCAAAACTAACCTTGGATGTGCAAACTGAGGTATGGGGTTGAAGGAGGGACAGAGTTGATTTGTTGTATGTAAGAATATTAAAGAAAAAAGGTGAGAGAGAAAAAAGGGAGAAGGATGAAAAACACCAAAAGAGGCTAAAATCTGAGCAGTGAAAATTGTTGAAGAATTATGGCCAATATTAGCTCTTTCTGCTTTCTAATATTCTTCAACAGCTTTACTATAGTATGAATAGACTGGTAGCAAAAAAAATGCACATATTTAAAATTTACAGTTTCTTAAGTTTTGCCATGTACACATCTGGGAGACCACTAATGCAATCAAGGTAGAGAACATATCCACCATTTCTCTGTAATCCTTTGTTTTTATCTTTGGCTATTCTAAACAGTATTTCTATGAACATTTGTGTGCAAATTTTCGTAGGAACATATGCCTTCAGTTTTCTAGTAGTGTATACCTAGAAATAGAATGGCTAGATCTTACACTAGGCATACACATAACCTTTTTAAAAATTATAAAACTGGGACCAGCAGTTAGCGTAATAGCTTTGTCGCTGGACTCCCACATAGTCAACCGCGGTTCGAGTCCTGGACCTGGTGGCTTAAACTCACGCTGGGCACATGTGCGTGTGTGCCCAAGATCCCGAGTGGAGAATGGAGGAGAAGGGACTGCGGCGTGGCCATCCCCCCTGGGGGGTGATTTCTCGCTTTCTGTGTCTCTGTCTCTCTCTGTCTGGTGAGTGCATGCTCCCTATAGCAAAAAACCTCTCCAAAAAAAAAAAAATTATCAAACTATTTGTACTGATTTTAAAATTATTTGTACTATTTAAATCATCACCAGCAGTGTTTGGGAGTTTCACTTGTCCACATCCTTGTCAATACTTGGTATAGTCAGTCTTATTTAATTTTTGACATTCTGAACATTCTAATTTGTGTGTACATCGTTTTGGTTTTAATTTTATTTTCTTGTTGACTAATAATGCTGAGCATTTTTTCATGTGTTTTTTTTTTTTTGTCATCTTACTTAGTGATGTATCTATTTAAATCTTTTGTTCAATTCTTTAATTAAGACACTAGTTATTTTATATCTGATATTGGTGATTGGGGACCTTTCTTATTTTTTTTTCTTTTTAGTCTGGCTGAATGATTGCCAACTTACTGATCTTCCACTGGGCTACTACACCTTCATCCAGCAACATGACCGAGCCCTGAGCAGCTGACACACTTCCTGGATGCTAATTTTTCATCTTGCATTTCAGAATTTTGCCTAATTTTTGCTTCCAGGCATCTTGTCTTTTCTGCTTTTCAGTTAGTCAATGATTTCGTCTCAGATTTTAGTCTACCACGCCTTGCCTAGAAATAAGGAAATGGGTAATATATGCAGAAATGAAGGAGATACAGCAGAAACAGGGCAAGGAAATGCAGGAAGGCAGAGAATTTTGATGTGTGGATGGGAGAACACCTATGTCAATTCCATAGACTGCAGGCTTTGTGAAGGAGAGTGTAGAAAAGTAAGGTTATTAGGTAGGATGGAGACAAATTTTGGAAAATTTGAATGCCAGATTAAGGAAACTGGGCATGAGCAATTTTACAAGTTTCCGAGTGAGAAAGTATGAGCAGACCTGTGCTTCAGGAAGATGAACCAGGCAGCTGTGTGAGAGGAAAAGAGCCATCAGCTAGTTGTTGTAATAGCACTGGTGATAGAGAAGAGGCATAACCTCAGGCAAGGGCTGTGGGATGGAGAGGTTTGGATTTAAGAAATGTGAAGAAATAAAACAGGTTTTAGTGTTTCAAGAATCTCTCCAGAATATTAAAGTAAAGAGCTGATGGTACACAACTGTCAGTTAGAAGCAGTCTGCTAAACAATCTGGGTTTGAAAAACAGGCTGTTCATATGATAAGGGAATGGAAAACACTAACGTGTTATGGATGAACAGAACTGTTTCAATTCACTGGAATTTGGAGAGACCCTTTTCCAGCACTGCTTAGTAAGTTACTGAAGCACATCAAGAAATATCAGGACAGGTGATGAAGCAGCATTTTCCAAGCTAATTACACTTCATACATATTCATAGCATCACATCTGAGTTTCTGAGCTGTGTCTACAGCATATGTGAAATATAAATGAGATTCTTAGAATTCGTAAGGTTTTTTTTTTTCTTATGTTTTAGGGATTGTATTTTTATAAATAATAATTTCTTTAATACTCTCTCTGAATATGTGTTTATATATATGCATACATAGGTAGTCATCTAAATTCTTTATTATACAATATAAAATAGAATCTGCTATATGTAATTTGCTATGTTTTTAGTAGCTAATAATTATTTACAAAAAAATGTGAGATAATTTGAGATGTCATTAAAATAGAATAAAGGGTCTATGAAGATTTAACAGAGGGCTTGAACTTAATTGCATTTTAATAAGAGCTTTCTTCCAACTATTTGTTAAATATTCATAGTAACTTGTTAAAACTTAATGTCATTAATTAATAGATAAATAAATTGATTGATTTCTACAACAAAAGTTCTTTAGATGACTCAGGCATCACAAAGCTCTGAGTATCCAAAATAGAAAGACAATGCTTTTCCTAATGAAACTGGAGTGTAGTGGAGAGACAAACAAACAAAAATCACTCATGAAGAAAAACAATGATTGCCTTAATTCGGCACAGAAACACTTAAGTGTTTGGCTGCCAGAAGAGGCTGTGTAACAGGAGGACGATAAGGAGGTGAGCCCTGAAGTTGAGTTAGAATTTATTGGGTAGGTAAACCTGCACCCTAGTATTTTATTTTCTAACAAACAAGTTTAAAAATTGCTGTCTATGCTGCTTTCTATAATTATAGTTTTGTTACTTTTATGAGTGTTCCTCAAATAACTTTATTAACAAAAAATTTTCTGGGGACCAGCAAGTGACCTAGTGGTTAAAGCTCTGGACTCCCATGTTGCTGACCATGGTTTGAGTCGCAGATGGTGGCTTG